ATGTAGGCTGTGAGATAGATTGTGCCACCTACGTGTTCTTAGCCTGCCCAAATGTGTGTATGTGTGTTCGCACCACCTTTGCACCGATAAACAAGCCGTTTGAGGATCGTTTTCGGTGCGGAAAAGTGCACAAGCTGTAGCGTAACAAGGCCATCATTCCGCACCCAAGCGTTTCTCATTTCGTGCCCGCGTCGCTGCGTTCGGTGCCGATATGTACTCTATTCACAATCCGTTTCATCGATAACTGCGCCAATTGGCGACGTTGTGCAAAAAAAACGAGTGCCCAAGCCTACTCCTAATAGGTGAACACTTCTCGCGTCGTTGTTTCCTTGCACCAACCCCTAAGTCACTCGTTCACACCCGGTTTTTCCTTTCTTTGCGGCGTCCTTCAACTGCTGTCATTTGGGACAGGTGTGTGTCGGTTTGGTTCTGCTGCTACGTGTGTGTCGGTCGGTTTGGTTCTGCTGCTGCTGTGTTCTTTTTTTGACCTGGTCCACACCGAGTGGCCAACTTTGGCACGTGTTCAGACCAGCTACCACGCATCTCCTCCTCTACAGCTCGCGGCTTTCACTATCTGCATTATCACAGAGGGTGTTCGTGTGTGGTTTGCAGACCACCACAGGGCGTAGTGAGGAGGGGCTCGCGATCGGCGACAACTCGCGTGCTAGTTCAAATATTCTGCTGCTGCTGTGTTCTGAGTGGCGGGGCATTTTTTTCTACTTCTTCATTTACTAACCCATACGGAGTGCTGCCAACAACGATTCGCATCAACAACATCGCATCAACAACATTTCGGGTGTGTACCAAAACAAAAGCAACACATATTCACGGGGGGCGCACGACCCAGCCCACTGCAGGTACTTTCCGCAGCACGGGTTATGCTGTTGTGATGGTGCGCGCGGAAAAAACTCCCCCCACTCGGGGTCTAGTATTTTTTTGCCTTCCGACAATTGCAGATGTACCTCAGAAAACTTTCACTTAATGTCTCATACTCTACATGAATATTAAACCAATACGAAGTACAACAACATATGTAGGACTTATTTCTACTGTCACTTACATCGTAAAAATATCTCCTCTTCAATTTGAAATAAACCCAATGACAATCCTCATAGTATCCTACATGCGTTCGTAAGCTTGCTAAAATACTACTGCGTTGATGTCCTCTTGTATCGTTGCCGGTAACCTCGCCGCGCGGTTCTTTATTTTTGCCGTCTACAACTGCGCCGGGCGCACCAAGCTCTCCAACAAGGAGGGTACGGCAGGTGGCAGGTAGGGCAACATCGGAACGTAGGTAGGGCAAAGTCGGAACGTCGGAACCAGTTCCTGGTCTAGATTGTTTTTTTTTTCTGTTTTTTTTTTCTGTTTCTTTTTTTTTTTTGTCGTCTTCACTTCAAATCAGCGCTTACAGCACTGGTGGTGCCGTTTTTCTCCAACCCGTGATCACACAGAAGAGCCCCTACCCTCCCCTCCTGCGGTACTTTGCTTTTGATTTTAATGCGAAAAGAGTTCAGCACTCTCTTCCCTCTATGTACGCACGAACTAGCGCTATCCACTAGGCCAGGAGCGGCAGCGAGAGAAAAACTCACTTTGCAAGAAAAGCTCGCTTATGCCGGGATTCGAACCCCTGGCCTGCCCTCTAGAAGGTTTCGAGGATACCAACTAGACCATCGGGGCGACCGGTATGGAGTCGGTCTTGATGGCCCGCTGGTCAGCGTTCAGACGGCGGCGGATGGCGCGAGTCCTCTTAGGGCGAAGGTCGAGGGGCACGTACTTCATGTCTTCGTAGTACTCGCGGAACCTGCTTCTGCGACTGGTAGTAGACAGGTGAGCGTTCTCGCGATCTTCTTACGAACGACCGCGATCTTAGCGAGCTTGGAGGCAGCGCCGCCGGTCACCTGCGCTACGCGCAGCGTCTGGAGCTCGGTTCGGAGCTCGGTGAGCTTGGCGGTAAGCTCGGCCTTCCCGAGGTTCCGGAGGTCGTGTGCCTTGTCCGAGCCCATGGTGTCTAGCTGCAGTATGCCCTCGCTCTGGGAGATTACCAAGTCAACAAGATAACAAGATACAATCTCCCGGCGAGACTGTCACCTCGGATGCGGCGAGACTGGCTGTATTATACTTGGTGTATTCGGGTTCTGCTGATGACCCGATCAACCAATTCAATACAGAGTGATGTGGCTCTACGCTAACGGTTCTTGTGCTCTGGTTCGAGGTTCTTGTCAGTGGGTTGCTCTATGTCTCAGACGGTTGTCGCCGAAGATGATAGATCAAAGACTCAAAGACCGAGGATGATAGATGATGCTTTGAAGAGGAAACTTTACGAAGGACTCAGGGTGGAAACAGCAGGTTATTGGGGAGAAGGGTCGAGCGTTGCTCGGTTCTTTCTTCCAAAAGAAGTTGCCGAAAGAAAGTCTGGACGACTCGTTTTGTAAAATTATGGTCCGTGTTTGAGAACATCTAAATTGATAGATGGTTCGAAAAATAGAGTGGACACCACCTTGTTTCTCCCGCTGACCTAAAAGAATTTGTCAAATAAACGAGACAGCGAGGAGATGGAGCGGTGGACACGCAAGGCAAGACGATCACTCACTGACTTGTCACATCTTGATGGAAGGTATTGCCGGGGGAAGAAGAGATGGGTTGGACGACCAATTCTCTTACCCCGTCACTCGTCCCGGGGCTATTCAACGGCATGCGTGAATGTTTTGCGACTTATGAGGGGTCCCTCGAAGTTGTGTTCCCACTGTTATGCTGCGTGTACTATGTGAGACAAGATCAGGTGCACAAGGGAAGGACGCCTAGGCCAGCACGAGCGCAGAGGGAAGGGGGTCGGATCACGAACCCATTTCCGGACCATGGGACCGGGGTAAACAACATATTCGCCTGATTGAGAGCGTAGCATCTGATTGAGAGCGAGATTGCGCGATACGCTGTAGCCGGACTACCACTGAGAGGTGGAGCTTGCTGTGTAGCTTGAATTGAAGGGCTAGCCCGTAGCTTCAAGCCGCTACCCTGGTCATCCTGTGGGAGTCTCTCGTTGTGGAGCTACAGCGGGGAGCAGAAGCTACAGCAGAGCCCACCGCCCGACGCGATACCGCCCTGAAACAGTTTGAGCAGAAATAGCCAATCTGGGCAAATCTAGCAACTTGTCTAGCTCCTCGCTGCAGCATCCGATGACGATGACACGCATATGCTCGCGAAGCTGCTGATGAGACCTTCAATTTGCACCGCTTCTTGGAATAGCCCGTCCCCTACTTGCCAAGAAATGGCAAGAGGCGTCTGGACCCGAAATTTCATTTTTTTTGGCTCTCGCTCTCAATCAGATACTTCGCTCTCAATCAGGCGAATATGTTGTTGGTATCAGCAGACCGCACAAAAGGTTGTGGATCGCTTGGAGGACTGATCCGTGCGTGCGCGTGTTGGAGATCCTCGCTCTGTGAGAGGAATGGGAGAGATTGGGTGTAGGGGTACCGCTTTTTGCCCTCATGGCCTGTCGTTTCCTTTCATGGAATACGGAGGGATAGAGCATCGGGCTTGCCTAATGGAGTAAGATCTGCTTAGGCCAGAGGCCGAAAACAAAGGATGACTAGTTTTTTCGTGAAAGAGCAGCGAGAGGCAAAAAGTTTACACGGGGGTACAGCAATATACAGGGTACAAAGAAGAAAGAGTGGCAGAAGCTTTTGGGATCCTTGGGAAGCCGAGGACCTCGAAAGGAAAAGCTTTGTATCGCCCGCAAAGACAGTGCAGCAAAGCAGCAGCGAGAGAATAAAGTTTTCGTTTGGGACTTGATCGAACCTGATCGAATTTGCCCTGGACACGCCGGAGTGATGAACAACGACAACAACCTGCAGCAGCAGGGTCAGGTTCCCCCCGAGCAGCTGAAGCCAGCGCAGCCAGCGCAACCTCCACCGCCACCACCGCCGCCTCCCGGTGGACTGCCGCCCGTAGCTAACCAACAGCAGAGCAGCGGCGGTGGAGGAGGAGCAGTAGCGGCAGCTCCCCATGGTGGCGGACAGGCAGTAGCAGCGGGAAACCAGCCAGCAGGGGCGGCGGGAAACCAACAGGCGGCGGGACACAACAACGCGCCCCCGGCAGCAGGAGGAGACCAGGACGCGGGCGGAGCCGCGCCAGCCGGGCTGGGAGGCCCACCTCCCCCCCTCAACCCAGTCCAGCTTCTGCTGCAGATGTCTGTACTGCTAAAAGAGCAAAACAAAAGACTCGGCAACCTGGAGCTCAGGATGCAGCAGCAGCAGCAGCAGCAGCAGCAGCAGCGGCAGCAGCAGCAGCAGCACCCGTAGTACCAGCAGCAGCATCAGCATCAGCAGCAGCAACAGCAGCCTGGCCACCTCCCCCCTGGCGATCTCCAGCAGCAAGGCCAGCCCCAGCCCATCAATCTCCCTCTAGGTGGCCAGCTCGTGCTACAGCCCCAGCAAGCGCGAGCTCTGGGCCAAAACATTAACGTGTCGAACCAGGCCCTCAACACCCATGTACAGAAAGAAAGGCTTCGCCGCGATACGAAGGCATGGGGAGACGAGTCCGCGGCGACGCTGCTTCTGCTGCCCGGCGGGTGGTTCGTTAGCACGACGCTGTCAAAGAACGCCATTGCCCAGCTGCTGCGCAATGTGGCCTATCCCGACGCCGAAACGATCGATTCGCTGAAGACCCTCGCCAACGTCGACATCGCCAAGTTCTCCCCANTTCGTTAGCACCACGCTGTCAAAGAACGCAATCGCCCAGCTGCTGCGCAAAGTGGCCTATCCCGACGCCGAAATGATCGATTCGCTGATGACCCTCGCCAACGTCGACATCGCCAAGTTCTCCCCACCCCTCCCTACGGGGTGGACCCCGCAGCCACGCGACTTCATCGTTCACCTCGAGACGTTCGTGAGAACATTCTTCGCCGTGTTTCACACACGCCGCAGGCGAACCATCGACCGGCCGCAGGCAACAGTTGAAAGCCGAAGTCAGCCGAATTGTGTCCAACGCCCGGGACTACCTCAGCCTTCATTCGGCGGAGATTACGGGTCAAGAAGCAGCGGTGAAGACGCGCCTGATCACCGACCCCAACACCGACATCAACGAGTACCTCGGGAACATCTCAGACCTTGGCGTCGCGACCCGCACCGACGACGACATCTCCCCGCCGGCAGATGACGACGTGCAACCCGTCGNGGCGAACCATCGACCGGCCGCAGGCAACAGTTGAAAGCCGAAGTCAGCCGAATTGTGTCCAACGCCCGGGACTACCTCAGCCTTCATTCGGCGGAGATTACGGGTCAAGAAGCAGCGGTGAAGACGCGCCTGATCACCGACACCAACACCGACATCAACGAGTACCTCGGGAACATCTCAGACCTTGGCGTCGCGACCCGCACCGACGACGACATCTCCCCGCCGGCAGATGACGACGTGCAACCCGTCGCCCCCCCCGCGTTTTCGCGGCTGCGCGGTCTCACCGCGGAAGGCAGCGCCAACGCCATCGTCGGAAAGCTTAACAACGGCCTGGCCGGGCTCCCGCAGCCACAGAAGAGGAAAGCGTCAGCGAGCAGCGCCACGAGCGGACATACAGCATCCAGCCCGCGGATAACCGCTGCACCCGTCGCCAACCAACACGCGGTGGCGACGTTGACCTCGTTCCAGCAGGACCTCCTCACGTGGGGAACCCCCCACCGCGCGTGTCACTCCCACTGGAAAGGGCCAAAGTGCACCCATCCGCACTGCACCCTCAACCACGTGCAGGTTCACCCCAGCGTCGCCCCCGCCGGTCCACCGCCCGGTCCGCCGCCCGGTCCGCCGCCCACAGCGCCAGCCCAGGCCCCCGCCCCCGCGACCGCCCTTGCTCCTGCCCCCGCCCCCGCCCCCGCCCCCGCCGCATCACGCCCCGTGGTCGCCCATTACAGGAGCAGGACCGTGGCGCTAACTGAAGCGCCTCTTCCCGGGTTGGTGGCACTGAACGTGTTCTACGGTGACAGAAGAAGTACCCGCCCGAGTAGATCAAGTACCAATAGTGAGGAACATGAAATCACTGCGGAACCGAGCTGATAGACAAATCTCACCAAGGACTAGAAAAACCGTGTACTCGTAGAAGTACCAGCCAAGTACATCACGCACCGATAGTGATGAACATGAAATTACTGCAAAACCAGCGCTAATGGATCCTTCTAACCAAGGAGATGAAACAACCGCGTGCTAGACTTGAACAAGTGAGAGAAAAAGACCCCCATAGCACGGGAAAAGATAATAGACCCAGCGTAAACGCTGGAGAAGCCCTCCGTAACAAGGAAGAAGCAGACCCCTCGCACCGGGGAGGAGATCGCACGAGTGCTAGACACAGTACGTGTATTGGTGACAAAGACAGAGAAAGACCCAGTGAGAACACTAGAGAAGACCCCCGTAACGAGGAAGAAGCAGACCCCTCGCACCAGGGAGAAGAACTCAAGAGTGCTAGACCCAATACGTGTATTGGGGACAAAGATAGAAAAAGACCCAGCGCGAAAAATGGAGAAGACGTCCGTAACAAGGAAGAAGCAGACCCCTCGCACCAGGGAGAAGAACGCAAGAGTGCTAGACCCAATACGTGGATTGGAGACAGGATAGAAAAAGACCCAGTGAGAACACTAGAGAAGACCTCCGTACCAAGGAGGAAGCAGACCCCTCGCACCAGGGAGAAGAACGCAAGAGTGCTAGACCCAATACGTGTA